ATCGATGGAAGAACAAGAGAGGACTATCAAGTAAGTGACTAATTTAAACAATACATCCTTTATATATGAACTATCATATAAAATATTGATTATCTCAAATACAGCGTACTTCTTGAACTTGATACGCCCGAAGATCCAATATGGCATTATCTTGATAGTCAATACAAATTCATAATTGATCTTTTAAAAGAATCATACCAAGAGCAACTGAATAAGATTCAAGGTCAATAATTTGGTAAATTAACTCGTCACATTATTTTAGTTTTTGACATTTATGAATTGTTTGTGATTATTCATTTAATCAATTAGCATTGAAAAAGTCTTTTCCGCCTTTTTCTAATGATACCAAAGAAGTTGCAATACGCCTTAAAGATGCAATAAAGGCTATTAATATAAGGGATTATGATTCCTTGATAGGTGAGGAGTTGGTTGACTATACTTTGTAAATTATAACTTAGACTTATATGTTTTCTATTATTAAATATAGCTGGTAAGGATATGGATGTGCAAATATGGAAAGCTACTTTAGATGTTGTAAAATCATTATCGGATTTACTTTTGAGATGTCTACCTGATTTTTGGAAGTTAAGCAAATCTTTTATGGAAGGAAAATTCCAAAAGGTAAAAAAAAAAAAAAAAAATAGTTTCATAAATACGGTTTTATTTTTGGTAATTGAAACTATATTTTTGGTTTATAGAGTCCAGCAATTCTTAGTGCTAACAGACGCAGACGTCAAGCCATGGATCTCAGAAAAGTAGAACAATGCCAAAATATGGCTAAAGGTGTAATTGATCTTTACGCATCATTGTTATCAGAGTTCTTTTCCCTTCCACCGCTATCTGGTGATCATACTAGTGATAGACCGACCTCGTCATTCATTCCGGTACAATCTGATTCTGTTACTACTTGTTATTTTTTGACGAAGATCCTTCATGGAATGCGTGAATGTGTGAATGATATTAATTCAATTAATATGGCATCGGATGTATCCAATGCATTACAAATATTAATGGAACATACCAGATGGAAATTTGTAGAAATAATATGTGTAGCATGGAATTCTGGTATAAATAGATTCATCCTTCTAGTCTGTTCATATTTTGCAACTCAAAAATTAATAATACACCTTTATATTTATTTGCAGATGCTAAGATCTTCTACTCGCTTGAAGATTGGTCTCTTGATCAAGATAATCGCGAAATTACTAATTTTTTGAGAAACTTTCATATATTTCACAAGTATAATTCTCGTAGCGCATACAAAATAGCAAGCTTGGGTTACGTTTCGGACGATGATGATAACGTATGTGAAACTGTTTATGTTGCTTCGACATAATTAATCTGGTTGCATCTATCTAATCAGCATAATATAATTGCTATATTATTTTAAGAAATCGTCTAGAATTTCCGATGCGTTTTTACAAAAGATTAAAGGCGCATTCCTTGACTCGTTGTATGCTTATTTAGACGGTTTGGTGCATTTGGTGTTTTCTGATTATACGCCACTTGAGTCAACCGAAAATAAAGAACCTACAGACATGATTCAGAAGTTGAGGATTGATCCGAAACAAATAGTAAATGATATTATATTTTATTAAAAATATTACGCATATGTTAAAGTTGGTTATTTGATTAAATTTGCTAACGACTTTTGTTTTATATTTAATAGGATTCAAGGATTTTACTTACTATTAGTAATCTTTCAAATCTAAAACAATTCATGATACCCAGAATTGTATCTCAATTTGAGACAGCATATAAATGTAGTCTTTCCGATGATACGCAGGTATGAATTTATTGAAAGTTTGACCATTTTGCGCATTAATTTAAAATTATTTTTAATGTAATCTATTATAAATTTATAACTATATAAATTAATAATTATTCAACTTCAGACACTTAATGATGTTATAAATCAGCTGGATGGAATATTATTTGAGGATTACTTAAAACGGCAAACGCAGAAAATTCGAGATATAGTTGTTAACGGTATATTATCAGGAGACGTAGATTGGTATAGCATATCAAAACCTACAGGTAAACAATTAATTATTTATCAATTAATGTATCAATTTTAGGTTAATAAAAGAGCTATTGAAATTTTATTCAGAGGTACATTCCTTTGTATACGAGGCTCTATTGTCACTTGTCATAGTTCATGCTCAAGTTAGTGATATCGCCAAGCCCCTCGTTAATCGCACATTAACAGCGCTGTTAGAGAATATGGCACGAGATTGCCTTGAAGCATTTCAAAAAGTAGAGAAATTTGGTATGGGTGGTATGCTTCAGGTAATGTCAATTAACATTTATTAGCTCATATTACTTTAGCTATGATTAAAAATTTGAGATATTTTTTTTTTTGTAGGCTACCCTTGAAATTGAGTTTATGCATCAAACACTATCGCAATATGTAAGCAAAGAAGCTCAAGAAACGTTACAACTTATATACACCACCATTGAACAATTATACGATACTACACAGGCATCTGGCCATTTAGATTCAGAATTAAGTAGTGTAAAACAATTATTAGTTGAAAGTCGCAAAAACACTAACCTACAGTTTTTATGCTTTAAAAAACCAAAATAATTTTGAATTTGAAGTTTGTATTTTAATTTATTCTGATATATTATTCATAATTTAACATAATAGACTTAATTTTTTCTTTTAACATAGAAATCTTTTTTTTTTTTTTTTCTTCTGTGGTTTATATTATTCACCACTGTTTTTTTTTTTTGTTGCTTTGATTAATCCGAATAAAGTTGTACAAACATATTTTGTGAATAAAAAAAAAACTATTTTAAACATA